GTATTACGCCTGGAAACGCCGCATCCGCAGGACACGACATCCCGCGACGCAGGATAATTATTCGTAATCGCATAATTATCACAGATTTGTCTTTATGCCTCGCGTTTCCGTACCGCTTTGCGCAATTAGGTACTCGGAACTGAAACGCGTGCGGTCATCGTGCGTGCGTTTCTTTTTAACTCTGCCAGAGAACGCGGTCGGGAGAAAAAAATAAAGAAGCGAAAAGACTTACTTATTATGTACCTTGAGGCTAAGTCCTCTAAGATAATTTCATATGATTACTTCAATTACAGTTTGATATAATTTAGATATATACAAGGTGATCGACCTAACGTTATGTCGACCTAACCGTTTGAAATTTATTTTATTTCTAACGAAACTCCAGAATTTTATGCAATTCCTTCGAAGAAAGTTACATTTTATCGTACGTATCTCTTTCAAAAGCACTGACCGAGAAATTTTCCTTTAAAATAAGAAAGAATATTGATAAAAATAGTGGAAAAAATCGTTACGATACGCTATGTATGTGAAATGTAGATGAAGATAGAGATCCAGCGAGCATTCACTAACTTAAATATTCTAGTTACAGTATGTTTATTATTTAGTTAACAGAAAATTGAATGTGATTATTCTTAGCGCTTGATAAAATTTTCAACGCGTCTGATTTTCCCTGACATTTCATTCCTAATTTCCATTAAGCGTGCTTCTACAGCTGACACATATAATTATATATAATTCGAGACTACTGTGAGATTCACATAGTTTCAAATAGATGATTCTTCATCAAAGAAATACAGTGCGCAATTTACGTGCAATCAAAGACATTTCATCTTAATAGAGACAACAATGAAAAATGTAATAGATGAAAAGGGGAACTTCGAAGAACTGTCCGAAATGACAAACTTCAATACGAAGACCAGAAATATACTACAAAGCAGAGTGCATAAACCTTGTTGACAAATAAATTTCTAGAAGTGGGAAGCGCTAAGCATTTCGACAGGAGCAACGAAAGAGCGAGTACAAAGTGACCGCGGATAATAGACGATGACGAAGACGTCGACTGTGACGTTGTCGTCGATGAATAAATGCAAAGCAACGAAAAGGAATAATAAAATCCAAACTGCGGAAGTAACATAAATGTTACTGCGACAAACGACCTAACTGCGATGATAGATTTAGTAAATAAATCAGAGAAATATGGAAATTTGTCAATAGTAAACATAATAAATAAAGCTTAAAGACACAGACAATTTTCTCTATCCGGATGATGCAATCGTGCATTTGAATATAATCTGGAATATAATTCTGTCTTAATGAAAATTCAATAAAAGACCTCACTTCACACATCCCGATTTTGAAATGTCAGAATGTCAACTACTTGTATTTAATTTTTCATTAAAAATGTATTAAATTGAAAAGATGAATAAGATCTTATTCGCGTTCTGAAAGCTCAACTCTAAAGTCTTATTTTTGCATTCCTCCATTTCGTATATTTTCATTGAAAAAGAAATCAAAGACACGAGATACCAAAATCTGCGATGGAAAGTCCGGTCGTGGAAGTTCGCATAATGGATGTCTACAACGACGGAGAAGGAGAATGAGGAGGGCAGGGGAGGCAAGGAAGAGCACGAGAGAGAGGAGGCGACATCGGGGGGCGATAAGGAGCCCGACAGAACGGATGAAGGAACTCTCTCCGTCGAGCGCGGCTGGAGGGAAGGAAGAGAGGCGGCAGTTAAGTTATGAATTATGACGTGGTACGAGCGAGAAAGACGAATCGAGTCGGTCGCGTAGGTCGTTACGAGGCCTGAGAAGGGAAGCGCGAAGCCTGATGGGGAAGGAGAGAGCAAAAAGCGTCCGCAACGATACGCGGCACTGCCTTTGGGGAAAGAAGGTAGCCCTCGCTAAACGAGCGCACCCCCGACAGTGACTGTGACGACGACGACGAGTGACGGGAAACGCGCTAACCGCGACGAATGGCTTTCGAGCCGGTAAACCCCGAGCCCGAGAGGAATATCCATGCCAAAAATCCGATTGTATACACGGATATACACGGTACCGAAGCGCTAAGGTCGTTTGCCATCGCGATGAACTCGCGAGATCTCTTTGATCTTTTTTTTGCTAAAGCTAGCATATATGTCTGGAAGCAGTTATCTTCCATAATCTCGAATATCCGAATGCTAATGCTATGATTTTCGAGCTCAAACAAGATGAGAAAATGATGAAAATTGCTCATTTATTGAAATTAATTAACCATTATTCCCGTTAGTATCGTCGTCACTAGTTTATCTCTTTCCATCTGTACTCTATTAATGTTATTAATATTCTCATTTTGTCTGCTTGCCTGCAACTATTTCAAACTCGTGTATCTCTTTAGATTAGCTATCAACTATCTTTCCGTACAGTCTTTTTAATATATCGCCGATCTCGATCTTGTCGACAACGCTTTATAGCCTCCTCTTTCACCGAATCTCGGGTGGCTTGTCTTGTCTCACGTTCTAAACAAGTCGTATCTACCTATCCATCTACCTCGCAGCATCCGCTGTCCGCCGCGCACTCAGCTGCATTTCTACATCACTAACGTGCATTCCACGGTATACCTCTGTCCTTCTTCGTCCCTTTGCTTTTATTCGACCGCGACGCGTTCGCGCTGATCACTCGCTGTTTCTTTGCTCCTGATCCCACCGCTTTTACATTCTATCTTGTCTATTTTCGATCTCGCTGAAAGCCTACAGTGACGTTCATTCTAATCAACATTGCCGCTAGATACGTTCAGAGATTACTTTTTAATTTATTATTTCTTTATCCCCATTTATAATTTTTTTAACGCTGCTTGTTACTTAATAATCAAGAGATAAAGATGCCGATTAAAATATAAAAAATATAGAGGAAGTTAATATCAAAACATTTTGCATAAAGTTAAAATCTTGTAATGTTCATGACAGGCTTTGCATAAAGCTTGACTGGTCGTGACTTCCGCTCGACGCGAAAGAACATCCAACATGCCATGCCATAAAGATCTCGACTATCGAAATAACGATCGGTCGACGATATTCGACGCGTTTCTTCAGGAAGATGCGAGAAAAAGGGAGAGAAAAAACGACGACAAGCGGACGGAAGAAACTCGGAGGCGACGAGGAAACCGCAAGGAACGATAATGACGAGACGAGAGGACGCAGAAAGCGAGAGGCACAAAAGAGAGGACGTCGTGGAAGAGAAACTGGCCCGAGGTAATTGCCGAGGTGTCTCTTCGCACCTCATCATCATCATCAACAGCCGCGTCGCTCTCGTCGTCGTCATCGTCGTCGTCGTCGTAACCCGTCCCTGGGACCACCCGTTAGAGTCGATTCCGTCAGTTTTCGGCTGCATTAGCTGGCAGACGAAACACGTCGCATCTTCGTCAAAAGCTGTGCCGAAATGACGACAAGCTTAAGTAAAACGTTTCGATAAAGCGAAGAATAACACTAGAAGATCACACTAGAGGCCTGAATTAGGATCATCGCTAACTCTTTTTAATTACAATTGCAAATCGCATTTGTTACATTTTATTTATATGAAAATTTGTTTTGAAATCATATAAGTGATTTAACATTCTTAGTGTCTCTTTAACAATTAAAATATTGAAAAAGATTTGCAATATTAACAAACAAACTAAAAATGTTATTTTTTCGGAAAAAAAAGAAATTTGAATAAAGTAAAAAAGTTTTTATATAAAATAAAGGCGTGCAATTTTTTTCATTTCAATCTTTTGTAATGAAAAGAGTTCAAATAAATTATAATATACTATTCTTTAAGGAAAAAAGGCCGCCATCTCCCTCAAGGAATACGACCCGGCTCGCGATAAAAAGAAGAGAGATCGATTAAACGGTACTAGGATAAACATCGGAAACGGAGCCAGATAGTTGTCCGTTGTCGCCTCTGAGGATCATAGATCTAACCTACGTCAAGGTCCGAAATTCCAACCGCCGCGAGGATGGAATTGAGTCCCCCTCGACGACGGTGGCGGTGGAACGAGACGCGCCGCGCCGCGACGCCCGTGGAATGCGAACGACGCTGACCTGGACCACACATGACGCCGCACGGTCGGTTCTTAAACGACTATCGTGAAATACGATAATGCCCGTCTTTCTCGCGCGCCGAACACAGAATCTGAACTTGGACACGGAAGACGGTTCCGTCGAGAAGGAGAGAAAGAGAGACCGGGATCGCGACTCCCGCGTTCCTCTCGCGAACACCTCGACAGTTGCACGTGTTGCGCCTTTTGACAGTTGTACACTGCGCTCGAACAGTGGCGAGCCTATTTAGAGATCTTCGCATTCTAAGTGTATTGTATGTGTATTCGTTGATTTGTCTCTCTCATACGTTATGTATTTAATGAGTTCCAAAAATATTTTCTCGATTCTAATGTCAATTTATGTATTTAATGAGTTCCAAAAATATTTTTTCGATTCTAATGTCAATTTCCTCGTGCCTTGCATATCATAATTTCACTTAATTATTATATTAAAAATGAGTATCTTGAAAATTTTCGATTCGAGGGAAGAGCATTCTATCTTAAAAAGATGTATATTTAAATCATCAAAGATCATTATCTAAATAACAATAAATATGCAATATATGCGCACGTTCGATTTTAAAAATAAAATTGTAAAATATTGATAAAATATACAGTAGCTTCGCAAAAAGGAAACGGATGATTCTCTTGATACGCGGACGCAACGTTAACGTAAAATCTCGTGTATCCGCGAGGTGTTACGCCAGTGTCTTTGCGCGCGGTCGCTCGCTCTCGACAGAAACGATTATCGGGGATGAAAGAGAGCCGCGGCGAACGAAATGGAGGAACCAGTCCCGTGTGGCCGAGATGTGGAGGACCGGAGGCGACCGGACGGACGTACGAGACTCCGGCCGAGTCGAAAGAAAGACGAGGAACGAGAAGGAGAATGAGCGAGCGCAAAAAGGAAAGGCGGGAGTGTAACGGTAGCGAGAAACAAAGTGAAACTTACGAGCTGATTCTGATAGGCGGTGACAGCGGTGAATATGGCCTCCGGGAATATGAAGGTCTTGTGCGGCTCCTTCTCGAGGTCCACGATCGACTTGGCCGTACCCGAGTCCGGCCGCTTCACCAGGTGGATCCTCGGCTGGTACTTGTGCATCGAGTTCAGCACCAGCTGCAAATTATCCGAAATTGTATCACACTGCCCGTAGAGATGATTAATGGCGATATACGTTCGATACGCGTTTAATTTTCCAAACACAGACACTTCCTCCTCTGTCTTAGCCTCGAGATTAATATACTTATCGAATAGTTATTGTAAAACATGTTTTTTATCGTAAGGCTAAATATATTTTTTGCAATACCTATTTATTTCTTTTGAATGATGAACATATTATTTTGTCTACACCTTTTCACTATTATTTTAAATTTTATCAGTTTTTTTAATCGCGTGAGAAATCCAGACGACCATCATTCCTCAATTTATGTTATTAATTCAAAGACGGGAGTGAAAGTTGTTCGCAATCGGAAGATCTCTCGCGATAATTACAAGTGTCCGATTTCGTCCAATTAAAGTCGAAACGAACTAACTAGCCAACGATCCAAATGGATGACGATATCGCGCATGCGGACACGACTTCTTCGTCTTCTTTCGCGCTACGCATTTCCATCCATCCCTTATTTCCGAGCGTCCCATTAGGGTACCAGAATCGCTGACGGCTTATCGTTTCCCGAGGACGGAGATTACATCGAGTTTCACGTCGACTTTCGTCGTTCGGGGATTTGAATCGGCGACGAAGCCGAGAGCAATGCGATAGCATTAACAGCACAAACGCGGGCGGAGATCGGCCGCGGCGAGAAAAAGCGTATGAATTAGAGGAGCACTTCGGGGCAGGGCGAGCTCCCCGTTACCATTCAAAAGAATCACTTTGCCCGCGTCTGGCAGCGTGTAATACCCTGAATACAAAATGAGTACCGTGAAGAAGCGCTGCCCCGATCGGAGTTCCTATTTACGTCAGTCATCCGATGAATTAAGGGCCCCGATGCGCCGGCGAGAAAGAGGAGCTCGGGCTGACAATGAGACGGTGGGAGGGGGTGGGGGAGGGGGTGACAGCAAGGCTGGGGCGAGGAGGGGGCAAAGACGCGGCTGAGATTCCCGTGTCTTATGACAAACGAGACAACGGACTGTCAAATTATCCCGTGGAGCGACTAAATCGCGCCACGATGAAATTCGTTTTATCGGCGTCGTTTTTCTCCTTTTCATAACCGAGACCTGCGGTAGGTCGCGATTAATCAGGTTTGCGACGACGATGACGTTCTTGATGACTTTTTGATTTCAGGAGCAATGTGAGAAATTGACTCAATTAATTCTTTGTAAGCACAATATTTAATATCCCCTCTGAATATTACTTTCGCATATTGAAAGATCACTTTAAAATTACTTTAGAAATCTCTCTCTCTCTTTCTTTCTTATACACAGCATCTAACGCTTTATTTTCTTATTTATAATTTCACGTCCTTTTAAAATTCTCATAAGCGCTTCGTCAACGTCATCACCGTAAAAGTCTACGAGTTGCGAGCCTAGGTAAATCAACCGTGTCGCGTGATTATGGAAAAAGAAAATTACGCAGAGAGAAAGATATGCTTCGTGAAATGACGTAAGAAGGTAAGATAAGTACGACGTAAAAGCTTTCCGCGAGACAAAATGTCATCGTGTTGCGTTCCACTTTGCTGAACTTTGTTGAACCTAACAATCGATGCCGGTCGATTTTTATTAATGCAACAACCGGTGGACGCGGTAGGCGTGCACTCGCTGTCTTCGACGCCGACAATGTCGTACTTTTAGCCGCAGCTGCGCCGAGTAACGTATAAAAGTTTAATAAGCGAGTTGTCTCGGAACGGCCACGTTTGCAAACGCGAGAAAATGTGAAAAATTTGCTATGAAAATGTGAAAAATTCGCGATTCGTGAAAAAATGTCGACAGACTACTCGCATGTACATGACAATTAAAATTAATCGAATGTAATGCACTCAAGAGATGTCACTTTTTTTATATATTTCTTTCTGAAAAATGCAGAAATTTTGAAAACTTTAATGATATTAAAATTAATTATATTGAATTTTAATTTAAACAATGGCCATTCTTTCCACCTGATTTAACAATATTATTCTAATAATATAAGAAAATTTTTCTCATATTTATAATATCAATAGAATAATGTTTTGTTTTAAACCATGTATATGTTTTTGCTAAAAAAAGGACTTGCTGAAAAAAGGACTAATTTGAAAAATTCTCTATTTAAAAAAAACAATATAAAATATTATTATTATTATTAATTATTATCAAATTAGAAATTATTATTAATTATTATTAAACTAGAAATTATGAAATCATAATATTGTTATGCGTCTGTTTTATAATCATATCGGTTCGTTTTCTTCTTTTTAATACTAGGATTAAACCGGATGGATATAAGGAAACGTCGGCGGAATTTTATTCCGTTCCTTTTCACCGATTCGTGAATCATTCAAAACGCGACGGAACTTCACATTCGTGTCGAAAAATCGATGCGCGTTACTACGTAAGCGCGAGCGCGCGATTAACTTACTCATTCTGTCATTATAACGGCTTAATAATAAAGACCGATCTTTACGGTGGTCTGACAAGTGTCACGAGGAATTAACCGGATGCCTTCGCGCAAGAAATAGAAAGACGGTCGGATAAGGCTTATTAATTAATTAATTCAATAAGAAACTTAACACATCCGCTGTAACGTGAATCGGAATCTGCACTTGTCGGAATTGGCTTTTTATAGCAAGCCGATATAGAATTTACCGGAAGTACGAATATAATTTCTACAAAATGATGAGCGCTAAATTGCCAAGTCCTTATTCACGGGTTCATATATATTGTGTTTGAAAATCTAATTCGATTCTAAGCTAATATACTCCGCCGTTTTCTTTCTCTTATTTTTACGTATCTGACATATTTCGGAAATTAGGCAGAAAATATAGCTATTCGATTGTCATACGAGTCCAGCGCAACTCAACGATTGATCTTACAAGAGGAAGAGGAAAATTTTTTCTCAAAAAAATAATATACTCACATGCCCATGTCTGTCCATGTCATTGTTAGTGAGCTTGACTTTTTCGAAGGAGACGACCTGCTTTCGGAGCTGTTCGCCTGTGAAAGGTGAATCCGGATGGACGTAGAGCCGGGCTGGCGCCGGCGGATCCGCCTTTCCGGCCACCAACCAGCAGCTCCTATGATATGCGTATCGATACCTCTTGTTGTCAACCGGCACGATGTCCATCAGGACCGCGTATCGACTGTCCGCCTTCAGTCCGTTGAATGAAACGCGACATGTCGGAAACATTCGTCTGCGCAAACACAAAACATTTTGTTAGTTAGTAAAAAAAGTCCAAAATTCAAAAAAAAATTTAAATGCTTTGTTTTTAAATATTTCCAAATGTTTGCAATTATCAGACTCGTTGCTTGTCAATTTTTATTAATAATAATTTTTATTAATTTTTATTAAATTTCTTGCAAGAGAAAAAGAAAGAGAAAATGAAAATATAATTTTTTACTACTATATAATTTTCACTGTCATTAATTAAATCAAAATTTTCAAAACTATTCTTAACTTACATAAAAATTCCAAACGATTTCATTCAATTTTATTTTATGAAGCAGTATATAATTTTTTCCTCTTAGACAGTATAAGTCAAATTAGCTAAACTTTAATTAACTTGTCGTTTTTTCTAAAACAGAAATTTTTGAGATTTTTAATAAAATAGAAACGCTGCATTTTGGTAATCAATGATCTGAACAGATTCGCGATAATTTTAGAATTGATCCGTTCACGGTCATCAACGTATGGTGTACGAGAAGAGAATGGAACGGAAAAGAAGGGAGACGAGAAGGGGGACTATGGGCCCGGATTCGCGGTTAGAGGCGAGGGGGTCCGCGGGGACCCGGGACCTGGCGTGAATGTTTTGCCTCGGAGGCCAAACATTAATACCGTGTCGGGCCCCCCGCTGTTCGACCACTAAAACGCGGGGACACCCGCCGATCTTATCTACGTCTTCTCCTCGGTCCTTGTCGACTCGGTATGCATTCATCCTGCCAGCGCCACGAGTGTGAGTAATGCTTTTATTTATCAAGCCGTCTTTTGTTAATGAATTGAACGAGGGGGAAGGTGGGACCTCACCCTCGCACCATTCCGCCTCTGCCTCTCCTCGTCCTCGTTCGTACCTGATTTTTAACCCTTCTCCCCTTTCGTGCGACCATTTCTCTCGTGACGCGAGCACAAGCACCGAAGATGCCTGTGATTTTTTCTCACAGGATTATCCGCCAAATTCCCACTTCACGTGAGAAAACATGGCTTTATACGAGACGTGAAAACTCAGCAAAAATAGAAATCCTTAAGAAACATATAAGAATAAAATATAAAAATTCTATCCCGATTATTAAAGAAAGTTTAAATTGCATGTTTTCTGTTCTCTTTCTCTTTTTTTCTAAATGAAATAAAATGTCTTTCAAGAATTAAAAACATTAATATTATTTCATAACAAATCTCTTACAAATTTACACTTTGCGATACAGATTACGCAAAATTGTCAAGTTTAAAAATTTAAATGGAACACGTGAACGAAAAAGTAGAATTCTGCATGAAATTTTCCATAAATAGCGAAAAACATAATGGAAGGAAGAGAGAAGGAGGGTTGAAGCGAGCTCAAAGAAGGGGAATCTCGGGCTGCCTAGTGGTGGAAAGTCTAAGGGACGATAAGGGGCGTAAGTTGACGGCTGAAGGGAGCGACGACCAGCGTCTCTGAGACACAGATCTAATTACCGACGCACGAGTAGGCGCGCACTCGGCTGAAGGAACGCGAATCCTCCCGTCTCCCCTTTAGGGGGGAATAAAGAGCAGGGATGTTGCCCATCGTGGCGGGCAATTAGGCGCGCGTCGGCCGCGTCGTCCCTCCCATCTTTTCCGCCTCCTTTCGCTTCCGGAGTTTCCCAGTTTTCTCGAGAATCCATTCAATGTTATCCTCGCACTCCATCTTAGACTTCCGTCCAGGACCGGCGCACGCGACTCCCACCCTATATAAAGATCTAGCAACTCCGTTTCATTCACACGAAAAAATATTTAGTGAATATTATATTAAAAAATTTATAAACAAATATCTAATTCTAGCATAACAAATCCGACGTAATTTTTTTTGTAATGATTTAATATTAAATATATGTTCGTATTAAATATTGAATATTAAAATAGCAATAAAATAAAATTTATAGCAAGTGATGGAAAAACATTTTTATTAAATCTACAGCATCTGTATCTTAACAAAAATTCCTCTAAAATTCTTCTAAAAATAATATAGTCACAAAATTCTTCTAAATATAATATATTCCAATTATCTTAGAAATATCGAATTTCATTCCACCATTAACTCGTTCTAATCCACCGCATTGATATAAAGGATTATTTGCTATGGCTTTCGATAGTCAACTTCGCGTCCAATGTTAGCATTTCCGTCGTTAAGTCGGAGATATATGTTTGAGAAGGTGTGGTATATCGCGAGTCGAGAGATGAACGCGAACATAAAACTTTTCGGATTGCCTTCCGCGAAGAGGTAGAGGCAGCCCTGAGAGATCCCCCCAGGACTTCTCTCCCCTCACAGTGTGATCCCACTCGAATCCTCACGCCTTCGGTCGCCACCGCTCGTCCCAAGGACCCTTATAAACTGGCATAAGCTCGCCCGGTTTCTACACCGACCCGACTAATTGACTGACGGTCAATATAGCAATTTAACCCGCCGCTTGCCACCAGCTCGTTCCCTGCTTTTTATTCTCCTTTTTCCATCTCTCCCCTCTTTCTCTTCCCGGACCTCTCCCCCTTTCCATTCCTGAGGTAATCCCGACTCTTTCACAGTTTTGTATTACTTTGCCCGGTATATTTGTGTGTACTTTTATCCTTTTATTTGTACAATGCGCCTTGCATTATGCTACTTTCTTATTATTCGCAGTTGAATTTGTTTACTTTTAAAGAGGATTCTTCTCATGGATAGAAATGCGTGTTACATATGTATATATTTAAGCTTACGTTTCATATAATCAACTACTTTTCTTGCATTTTTAATTCTGAATCAATTGAAGCTTTGTATACACATATCCAAGTTCAATCTTTACTCTCCTTCCCTCTCTCTTTCCCTCTCTTTCTCTCTCATGCCAATCTATACTATGTCTATAAGTTTTTTTATTATGATGTTACTTATTATATATACGATTAACATTTGTCAAATAATGTCTATTTAAAACAGATAATTATATCCCATAATATTTTGCCGATATTTTAAAATCAAATTATTTCTTATAAATAAAAATTATAGAAATAATAATTTTTGAAATAAAACATTTCGTATTAAATTTTGAAAACAACTTGATTATTCTCAAAACAGTGGCAAAATTTCTGACATTTTCTAGATGGTTGTTATATTTCGATTTGTTTATCATATTTTTAATATTGTATTTTTTATATTATACAAAATTTAAAAAAGATTAGTCACAAAAATTTTGAAGTTTTTTTTATGTTTCATGTCTTGATTGAATATATACTATCCTCCCTCCGGCTTCCCTGCTCAATTCCCGCAATTAAAGGTTCGTAATTTCAATGCGATTAGAACGCTTGCTTATGTTTCGGTATAACGTGTCAGGCGAGTGACAGCTTGCTCAGGGTAACGACACCTCTCGCCCTAAGCCTAGTCCGTTTCTATCGTCGGGTTCCCCTCGGGAATTTTCGTGGGTGTCGTGTCGTGTCGTGACCCGTAGCGGGATGTGATTGAGTTTGCAGTGACGTCGCCCCGGGAGCGACGGTGGTTTCGGGACGAGAATCGAAAGGGTGAGCGGCCACGAGTAATGAGAAAGAGTCAATCGCTTCGACGTTGTCCAGGAGGAATCCAACCTGCGATGCATTAGCGGGATACATCGTCTCGAGGGAGATTCCCAGGGCATCTGGTTGCCTCGGGGATCTCGCTTACCCCCCTCGAGAGAAACTGAAATTGTTTCCGCCTGCGATCCTTCGATTAATCGCGTTACGAAACGTACTTGTCTCTCTCGATCTCAGTCTCATTGTCTCGGAATAAAATAATAATTTCGAAAATATCAATGCATGATGCATTGAATTTATTACATTATTACGTCAACTTCGACATTCGCCAAAGTAATCGCAAATTGCGAGTAAAGTTTATGTGAATTACCGAATCATATATTATGCAATGTAGAATTACGTAACGCAAAAAGTGGTCTTAAAACTTGAAGGATTATGTAACAGAAAAAGTTGTTTTGAAATTTGAAATCGTACAATATTGAAAAAATGATTCAACGTCTGTAACAATTAATGAATATCAAATTCGAATTTGAAAGCAACTATCACTTGGCGATCATCGCTCGCGCGATTAAAATTTATCGACGTCCACGTGAAGTGCCTCCGGTGTTATCGTCGATATCGATAAATAAATCAGCATGACAATCCAGACATCAATCATTCTCTCAAACAACGGAAGTTGATAATTTGAAATGACCTTACCTGCCAGTCTTTGTGATGATCATCTCCGTGCCGAGCTCATTGAATTTATCCCAGAGGTCCTTGGTCTCCAAGTGGCAGGCCACATGTTTCAGTTCCTCGCAATTCGATCGCTCCTGGAGTAGCGGATTCACGACCGGCGAGGCGCCCTTTCCACTCGTACTTCCGGTATCGTCCGTTTCCGGCTCGTCCTCCGCATTGATCGTCTCCGGAACCGGCGGAGCACCGCGGACGACCCCAGAACCGCTAGCTTCCCTTTCTGCAATTCATATTTTTACAATACATGAATTTATTATATATGCGATATGTATTAAAGAATTCAACAAAAGCGTAAAAATATAATTCACATATAATATCCGTCATATTAATATCGAATTATCCTTCAGAATATTACTCGTCTGACAGTATTATAAATTTTATAATCCATCTTGCAATAGCGGTTTTTATTTAGCGCGCCGCCATCTTAAGTACGCAATCGGAAACGACGAGAAGGGAACCGCTTCCGGTATAAAAATCGACCCGATATAAAAATCGAGGATCGTTAAAGCGAGTGAAACTCCATTTCGAGAGGAGGCGAAGTCGAGAACTTAAGGACAAACATTTATCACTGCCGTGTCATTGACGCTCGTTTTTATCCGTTCAGCCGTAGTCACTAAAATAGCGTACGACGTACGGGAGTTAACGTGAATGAACCGCGGCTGATGAATATTTAAGAGCCACGTTCAATTACAGTTATATCGTGCCGCCGTTCCCAGTTTCGCGACGACGACATTCGCCTTGTGTGCCGCGCACTTTCGCCGCTCGCGCGGCGAGCGAAATTAAAAACGAGGCTCGTTCGTCGATTCGTAATTTACGATGGGAGGCCCCCCATTACCGCAAATTATTATTAATTTCGTCCGATGGTGCCGCGCATTGCGATAACTCGATTCTAAATTACGTATGACAGGCCTTGGCGTCGATTAATATCTTTCTCTCCGTACGCTTTTACGCTTGTGCCGCGCACATCCCACTTTTGCGCCAGCTCTGTATAAAGTTAAATTCGTGACTTTTTGCAAACTTACTCGCGAAAGAAACGCGCGTTTACGTATGCATAGACGTTTAATGAAAAATCGTTTTTCTGACGCGCCATTATTTACCGCGCCGTCCAATGACTCTATTAGCGGAATAATGAAGAAGAGGAGTGTCTCTCCGATTAAGATTTTAATCAGAAGTTAAATGAGTAGTAAGAAGTTGAAAATATAGTGGACGGGACATGCACGATACGTCAATATAATGTTTTCCAAATTGCTTGAATTATATATCGTGAGAAAATCTCTTTCTCTCTCTCTCTCGGTCTCTTTTGATAAATAAAAATAGAATTAAAATAATGATCTACGCGATAGATGTTTCATCTACTTTAATTAAGATCCAGAATTTAAATGATATATTTCTTTCCCTCTGAAATGATTAAGATGATATCGATATTATGTTTTTATTATGTAGTGCGGAAATGAGATTATATCGATACGAATGTGTCAAGAGCACTTGAGAGATATAGCAAACGGAGGCTAGATTCTGAGAAACTCACGTTGATTAAAATAAAACTCGTGTTGATTAATGCTTCAAATTAACTCGGAGACGCCACGTTATTGAAGCATTTTATTTCGCGTAGATCGCGCTAATCTCTCGCGTTTACACGCACACCGATGTAACACATTGCAGCACTGTGTACAGTTCTGTGCCATTCAATCACATCGACGTAAATCTAAGCGTAATCCATTTAGCGGTGCTTATAGGTATCCAGTTATCGATGATAATATATCGCCGGTTGCCGCGATAAGCGAGTTCCTTCAGCATCGCAATCGATTATAAATAATGTCGCGAAGAATAAATAATTCCGCGCGAGAGAAGCCAGCCTTACAATTATATTATGCAGATTGTATTTCCGATTTTAATGACGCAAGGGAAAAGTAATCGGCTGATAAAACGACGTATTGCCGCCGACGGTGATTAATTGTTGCGCCACGACACTCGAGCACAGGAAGTCGAGCTCTCTTTTCAAGATGCACGCGAATTTCTATAGGATGTTCTCAACGACATTATTTTACAAGTAAGAGAAAACGTAAGGGATTAAGTATGTTTTAACTTTAACTTTATATTTAAATTTAAATTTAATTTTAAATTATCGTTGAGATAAAATTAACCATAAATAGATAAATCGAATCAAAATAATTTAAATTAAACTAGATTGATTTCGTAAAGAATAAAATAATTTTGTAACAAATTTTTTACAAAATACTACTAGTGATTCATGAGCTGCGTCAATAAAAATATTCTCAAATGCGTTCTTCGATCAATTCGGACGCAATTTTTCGAGCTTCTCCGATAAGAAGAGATTCCACGCGGTTAAAACTTATTATAACTTATTTATAACTTCTTAATAGTAATTCGAGAGAGAGAAAGGGAAAGAGAGATCAGCATCTGCCATTTTAACAGATCCCTTCTTGGCGTAATTCGCGGACACGTATTTACCACGTGCGCCTCCGCCGAGTGCGTTTTCATAGTAAGAGCCACCGTTGTACCCGGGAAACCGTAATAAACTTCGTAATGGGCAGTTACGAAGTACCGACTTGGCCGATATGTCAGGTGCTGGCTATCAATTTTGCACGTTGATGCCGCGCACGAGGAATTAATCGTCCATTTGGTGCCGGAATCCGGCGTCAATATTATGGCCTCGCCATTTTCCCGCTTTTCTCTCCGCGAAAATCCGCAATTGAACACAAGATATGTATTGTAATTCTTTGCATATATATATATACATTTTCTTTTTTCTTTTTTTATCGGGAAAGAATGTAAAAGAGAACACAACGTTGCTAAAATCATATAGGACAATCAGAAATTAAGCACGGAGCAAAAAGATGGACAAATGTAAATGTAAATTATTTTCGTAATTTATTACCAACGATTGCGTGAAATTTCTAACAAGAATTATTTTTTATTAAACGAAAACACGTCCTAATATTTCATGATAAATATCTCACGGCAATTTTGATATACATGCTAAAGGGAGAGAAAATATCATATATCGCAATCTCGTAATCTCTTATTCAAGATAAAAGCTTAGCGATATACAAACGAGGAAGTAACGCGGTGGTAAATAAAATCTCTTGGTTTACCTTAAGTTACTGCAAGTTATAATTTCACGAACCGCCGCTCTTGGCCGGCATCACGCTAATAACGTTAAACTAAAGCAAGCCCCGTCGTAAGTAGATAATTATCCTTTTTCCAGGCGCTACCGCGCGCTTATTATATCGCTCGCCGGCGTGTATGACCCGTTGTGCCGTAATCGAGGGAATTAGTCATTTTGCATGTAATAATGTCTGAACCGCGGCGAGAGATGAGAGGAACGACTCTCGAAAACTCTGCGGTATTATTGATCAGCCGCGTAAGTAATTGCCGGTAATACGCATCGCGAATTATCGTTCAACTCGATATGTAAATTAGCTTCACGTCCTTCGACCGTTATTTCACCCCGCATTTACACCACACACATTTTGCGGTAAACGTGACTATTTGACCCACGGCTCGCGATTATCTTTAATCGGGATTTGTATTGAAGAAATACCATTTCAAATGGCTACAATTTAACGCAACTTTTCTCTTTCGCACAAAATAATCTCCTGTAGTACAAACCGACATCGTATAAATCATTCAGTATTCTGTATAATTTATTAATGCATACCGATTGTTACGTCTTTCTATTTTGTTTCGTGTCCTTTGCTTACGTTGATTAATCCTTCTGCCTTTCGCAAGCAGAAATATAACATAAAGCAGAAATGTAATATATCATAGAATAAGTATAATTTTTCCTAGTGTAAGTTTTTGCACTACGTTGTCATTTTTACATTACAACGTAAAATGTCGCACATAAATTATGTAAATTATCTCGAGATTAAAACATCTAACAATTCGTGTTACATGCATCGCGTTTTTGCCTCTACATGAAAAGCGCATCTTTACAACGTTAACACGCATGATAAATTACACAAGATAGGTATATTGAGATTATCTTTACGAACGTCAACGCATTTATTAAGTCTCGCGATACGAATAGAAAGCGTTTAGCGCCTGGTTATTAACCCGTTGATACGGCATCGATTTACGCCTGAGAGAATGTAACGTGTAATTCTAAATTTTTAAACACGATCTGCAGAAGGCTGTATGAGATTAAACTCTTCGATGCACACAGTGTGTATCTGAGAATCTTTAATTATAGATTCCTTGTCGAACTCGGAGTGAATTTTTCAAAAAACGTTTCTTAATTAGTTCCAGAGAGAGAAAGATATTTAATTTATTTAAACTTTTTTTTAAAATTCTCAAATATAAGCATCTTAATGACGGAATCTCGAAACAAAATTCTGAAAAAATCATTACAATTTTCTGCCACTCAAAACAAATATTTTTACATAAATTACATATATTATTATTATTAAATATACTATTTAAATATTATATATTCCTATTTTATACATGTATTATTAACGTTAATTTTATGTCAGCAGGTATCGTTTTCCTCGATAATACTTTTCGCAAGTTGTTACTTTGGAAAAATGCTCACCCGTCGAGCGGTCGGGACCGCTTTGGCAAAGGTTAAAGAGAGTTTGATCCGATAGATCGGGCGGATGTTTACGCAATAGTAAACTCCTCGACGGCCGCGGCGCATCGCGGAATATTAAGTACGAATTACCACTTGCAATAACAGTAATCTTCATTCGTCGGTCGGCCTTTGGCCGTAAAACGCCGCGGAGAGTCTCTTGCGGTCGCCGGGCTCTGTATTTACGTTGCGCTTCGAGCTCTCGCGGCTGCGCGAACCTTTCAATATAGCAGGATATTTGCCGGTCGACGGGGATTATCCGCACGCAACTCGTCGTTTCCACCGCAAGAGAGCCGATAACCACAAAGCAATAATTAATTACCGTCGGCACCGATACGCCGATTTATCGTCGATTATTACCCGGCGAGAGGGCCCGCATACACACTTATGCGAGCTGAAATACGTGCTGAACGCGCGCGCGTTTAACAGTCGAAGAAGTTATTTAACAGCCTCGGGATCGAGTATATAAATCCTGAAAGGGCCGATCGATATCGCTTCATTAATACAACTCAGTGGGCGTAGCCGGAATTATAGTTACACCTGCGATAACGTGAAGACGCGGGATTCTCTGTTACGGTGATTACTCTTAAAATATCGTTTAATCCTCTTTGAAGTTGCGTATTTTA